GATATATTTCTACTTGAACTAAAATTCTGTTCATGTTAACCTCATGTTCTTCTTACGCGAGTTGGTGTTGAAGATGTTTTACTGTATTATTAGCTCGGTGTTTTAATCACATTTTACACCTTACACTGGACAGTGGGGAAAAGAAAGTTAGTAAAAGACACTACTTACGTTGTTAACACCGCTGGTAGTTGGCACTAGACTCGAATGTTGAATTAAGAATCGACATCACAGCACTGGGGACATTCCCACAAGCGCCCCGTTCCCATTTTCAGCAGCAAACGAAGATTTGAAATTCCGATGGCACCAATAACTGTCTGATTGTGTATCCGTCTCGATTTTCCCCTGAGTGTTGAGCGTCTGCCAGATCCCCTAGTACCGCCTTGCAGCGTCATGGTCCTCAGACCGTAATGATCTAAATGTGCCTCCGCACTGTTCAGCTGTTCACCTCATATGTACTTCTCGATTGGAGTGGTATTTGTTTCAAAAAAAAAAGGTGGGGGGTAAACAGATTTCGCAATACTGTTTCGGTCTCTCTCTCTCTCTCTCTCTCTCTCTCTCTCTCTCTCTCTCTCTCTCTCTCTCTCTCTCTCTCTCTCTGTAAATATATATATATATATATATATATATTATATATATATATATATATATATGTGTGTGTGTGTGTGTGTGTGTGTATCACATCGGCGACCGGTTTGCCCACTAACTCGCCCGGTGGACGACTTCGTCTCCAGTTCGGACACTATTTGGGTATGTATCAATACTGCAGGAGTCCTTTTCATGACTTTTAGTGGCGTGCAATTCTAAGAGATTCTATGTGTTACACATAACCTAGTCACATTTATATACACATATATAAATACCTACACACACTTTCTTTAAATAAATGTAATTTATTCTTGTTTGCAACTGCATCGTTGTCCGTTTGTGTTTAAAATGGTCAGTGCTATCTACCCGCAACCTTCATTTTGTCATTCGAGAGTATGGTATTGGAAAACTGGCTAGCTAGTTTTACGCACTTCTTGTTTGGGTTGATAATTTTTTTTTCTATAAATTTGTATCTTCCAATCGATATACTGTATTTGGTCGTCTTTAGGTCTGTATTTGGTTTATCTGGTCCATGGTACTAATAAGGTGTGTTGTTTAGGGCTATCGCTTCTTGGCAGAATTCCAACACACCTTCCGTTTCGTTTTTTAAGTGTGTGAGTCATCGGGCGGGATACAATTTACACACTTAACGCTAGAATCAGGGAGTCGGAAAATAGTACTGTGGCCTCACTTCTCTTTTAAGTTTTCTCGCAGCGGTGTCACTCCAATAGTAATCGACGCAAGTCTTCTTCGAGGTTTAAATGATACGAATACCAATGTATCAGATTTTAAGGACATCTAGATAACCTCTGAGTGCTGAATTAAAGAATCCTCATCTTAGAGTAATAGACACAATAATAGGTGTTCCGTCTACTGCTGTAGATGCTGACTGTTTCAGATGTGCGCTAGTTGTACACACGAAGTACACTTCATCTAGGTAAACGCAACGTTAATCTCCCCATTTACGCTCTAGGTCACTTTTCATTAACAAGTTAGACTGGTCGACTTGCGGAAGATTACGGGTGTGTCCCGCTCTTTTATTTGCTTTCTGTGTTGTCTTCCAATTAGGTTTTCATCTTCAGAAAGAGAATGCCTGTGACATAGATTGCAGCACTCTCGTAGGAGAGTTGTGTTAGGGCCAGTGCTCCATGTTTTTGGAGCGTTAAAAAGCTAGTGTGCTGAAATATACAACACGCGATTTCAAGCGTATCGCAGAATACCCCCGTAACCTTGTGCGAAGGTGACGAGGGTCAGGAACTACCAATCAAAAGTGACCTATTGTGTGTATAAGATGTGTTAACTCTACTTGGGGATATTACCACGCCTAATTCCAAACTCGCACCATCTTGAGCATGTTTAATCTAGCAGCGTATCTTCCGTCAGCATTTGTTTATAAATGGTCTTCAGCATGTCTATCTAGTACAATTTAAGTGTTCCTACCGCTGTCTCTTTTGTAGCTCAAAAGCAATCTGCATTTTTATTATCTTTCACTCTATCACATCCCTACTAACCTATGGATGCGAGAGCTGGAAATCAACGAAAACTCTAGACACAAAATTAGACAGTTTTGAAAATAAATGCCTTAGAAGAATACTAAATTTCAAATGGTCAGATTTTCGAACCAATACACAAATAAGGCAAGAATCCAGGCAAGAGTATGTGTCTAATTTTATACGAAAACGCCGCTGGAACTATGTCGGCCACGCCCTTAGAATGGATAAATCAAGACTTCCTTACCAAGCCCTCATTTGGACACCACAGGGGAAAAGATCTCGTGGAAGACCAAGGGAAACCCTACGAAGAACTATCATCAGGGAAGGCTCACTCATGGGCCACTCAAACATCCAAGACCTACAACAGATTGCAACGAACCGCCATGCATGGAGAGTCATGACCTCTGCCCTATGTGCCGCACTCGACACAAGAGGAAAGACTAACTAACTAACTAAATCACATCCTTGTCAGTACATTGATGAGAGTCCCTGTAATGTCGGTACACTTACGCTTAGTATCAAGAGAATTATCAACCAAAAATCAACCTTTAGCTGTTCGTTCTAGAAATAATGTAAACTGCATCAATAGTTCACGTTTAACATCTTGAGACATTAAAGGCATAAAGTGAGTTTCTTATTCTTATGGGCCAGTCAATACTCAAAGGGTGATGAGGACAATATCTTGCAGACCATCTTTGCATCGCATGACAGTTCCTGGTGCCCTAATTAAACTGGGTTCACCAGGAGGTAAAGGTAAATTATTATAAAAGAAAAGGTTGCAGATTTCATGTATATCCCAGGCCCACAAATTTATTTATGTCCTAGTTTTCTTTGGTAAGAAGAACCATATTTGTGTGGGTTAAAGAAAAATATATATATATTATATCATCATGTAGCAGGCCCTTTGCAGAACGTCGCTCTAATCACAGTCTGCCTGAAAGAAACCCGGTCTCTCGCCAGTTCTTCCGCCTCATGTACTTTCATACTCAAGGAGTCACTTATATCCTGTGCCCATCTTCGTGTCGGTTGGCCCCTGTCCCTCCTTCCTGGTACCATTCCTTCTGCTACAAGTTTTTCCAATCCGTCGTGGCTCTTGAAATGACCAAAATATTTCAGCTTCCGAGACAGGATGCTGTTAATTAGCCAATCTCCCTCGATGTTCAGATCTTTCAAGGTGTCAGTATCTCCTCTTCTGTGGCCCATACATATATGGGGAAATGTCACACAATATTTTTTTTTCCTTCGCCCTTGGTTGGGGGAGGTGTTGTTGGTAACATTCTGTTGTAGTCTACAGCTACAGTGGGATATCTGCACCTTTAAGTGTGTATTTTATTCTATATCATATCCCATCCCATACTGATAGTTTATAATCGTTTACAGTATCCTTAAAAGAAAAGGGTCTGCTCGAATGGATATATGACATGTCCTTGGAAGAAAAGGGCCTACTTGAATGGATATATGACATATCCTTGGAAGACAACTGACATTCTTTGACTCCATTAAAAGACATAACCTTTTAAAAATCACACTGGAGGGAAAGGTCGAGGGCAATACAAGTGAAAGGACAACATCAAGAGATGGACTAGCAGCAGTCTAAGAGAGTGTACAACCAGGACCAGAGACAGGGCATGTTGGAGATCTATTGCAGCCAACCTTCACTGTAGAGACGGCACCTGATTGGTTGAAGGGTGAAAATGGGTTCTTAAGTTTTTTCTTTTAGATTGATCGACGAATCAGTGAAAAGAAGAAAAAAAGCGAAGAAAACATGTTGGTGTTGGATAAGACACAAGCTGAGAAAACATGAGAACAATATAATTAGAAAGTCTTTGCACAGGAACCCACAGGGGCCTCTTTTCCCCTGATGTCTTTATTAGTTTTTCTTACCATCCTGAGATATAAAAAATCTCAATTTAGACGATAGACCAACAGGGCAGATCCTAGATACCCTACTCAACACCCCCCCCCCCACCCCCCATACACTCATTTTTAAAAAAACTAGGGCACCAGTAACGACCACAATAGCCAGGTGTAACTCGCAGTCCTAATGCGGGCCAGGTGTCTTCCTTTTTCATTTCTTGTCTTGTCTTGTCTTGTCTTGTCCACAATTGCCTCACAGCGTAGTGGGGAGTCGCAGTTTTCTATCCTGGGCCAGGTATGTTAACTCGTGTTGTTGTTAGTCCGTGTTGCCTTCAGGATCTCTGATATATTGTCTATCCATCGTACTCTCGGTCTGACTATTGCTCTAGGACAGTAGTGCTGTCATTGTATGCTCGTATAGGGCAGTTTGTCGGTTTGCAATCGCATCAAGTGGCCAACCACTCTATTTGTTGCTTCTTTATGTATATGCAGGCATGGAGTGGTTCCTACAATTGCTCTTCTCCGTACGCTCGTTTCAGATTGATCATCATATCGGTTGAAACCCCAATGAATAAGAATTTCACAACAAACAGTTGTAGTATATAATTTTATCGACTATATTCTGTTGAACACTTTTGGGTCATAATCGCTTTTTTTTCCAAGATTGAACTATGGAGCGAGTAAAACTACGTCACTTTTGGCTTCGACTTTTGCCCTGCCACCTTTTGTTTAGATTTAGGAAATAATTGTACAAGAAAATCAATCGCGCAGCGCCGCACGCACGCGCGCGCAGACACACTTTTACACACAACCCACACACAACCACACACACACAACACACACACACAAACAAACAGACACACCCACACACACACAACCAGTAGATAAACACCACACACACAACATTTTGGTCACACACACACACACACAACACACAACCACACACACAAACTACACTTTTGGCCCACACAATACACCACACACACACTTTACCAAACCCACAGACAAACACAAGACAACACACACGCACACACACACACTAGAAAAAAATATTCATAGATAAACAAAAATTGATGTGGAAAAAAGGTGAGCATATAACATGTGTATGATCATCGTCATTATCAGGTGCTTCAACAAACGGCAGAGACCTACATCAATTTCCACATATCTCAGGTTCTTAATCTTCGTTAGCTCCACGAGGTTAGGAAAGTGAAGGACCATTTTCACATTAATGGTGTCTTCTGCATTTGCTGCTAAATTCAGAGATGTATAGGTCGGTCGGCAGTTTTCGGGGGATCTGTTATTCTGGTAATTTTTCCTTTATACGATTTTCCTCTCTCTTCTTCTTGTGCCTTGTTATCCCCCGGTGGAGCAGAGGCTTTCAGCCAACCCACGCCAGCTCGTTCTATCCTTCGCTATTACATCCAGCTCTCCCCACATCTTCATCATCACTCTCTAGCTCCTTCTTCCTTTTGTCTGAAGATTTCTTGTTGGCTAGCGAGTTAATAGCCTTCCATATATCTGCACTATTTGTTTAATGAAGTCTGCCTTTCTTTCTATGCCCCTGTAGGTTCCTGTGCAAAGACTTTCTAATTATATTGTTCTCGTGTTTTCTCAGCTTGTGTCTTATCCAACACCAACATGTTTTCTTCGCCTTTTGAACCACTGGCATTTTTGTCTCCCCCAAAGCTCAGCATTAGTGATCCTATCATACTATTTAATTCTCTCTGTTCTGCGCAGGTTCCAGTTAAAGAATGTTTTGAATGATCTGGCCCATGACGATGCCTATTTTCAAAATGTTAGCCCCCTAAGAAAACGTAGTGTAATAGTCCCATTTTAGACCGTCATTTCTCTCGGTCTGCGGCTGTTTCTTTTACTGCTGATTTTTCCCCGTCGTTACAAGGTTCTCCAACACTTCTAACTCTCACATTACAAAAGAGTAGTCGTTTCATTTCACTTTGAACTACATTTATAGTTGCATGCTGCTGGGGTTGAAACTCGCGGCTGCCTTAGACATTATAATCGTGTGCATGTTGCCGGTTTTGTCTGAACTACTATCTGTTTAACTTTTAACATGGTATAGTTATGCGAATTGTTTGCTGTTTTCAATGGCATAGGACCCGAGCGATTATGAGATGATCCCTGTGTCACTAAGCTGAAATCTCGACTAACGACTGTCAGAGACTTTGTGTTGGCAACGATTATCAAGAGTTTACCAACAATGTGTCTGTTTATCTTTTTTTTTTCTTCAAATCCGACCAAATTTAAGAAATTTTTAGGAAAGAAAGGAGCATCGATTCATCCAGTAATGTTTTAAAATAGCTCACATCGTAGAAGAGGTACAGACACTTGATTGGAATTAAAGGGCAGAACTTACAGAATTTGGCGGAAAAAAAAATTATTGGAACTGGTCGACAGCAAAATTTCAGGGATGAAAACTATAAGAAAACACGAAGAAGATCTATTCATTCCACGGTATTAAGCATTCACACATAAATAAACAAAGTAAACCCCAAAATAGTGGTACGATTGCACTGGTTGTTGAAGTCAGTCTCATCCCACTTGATGGTGTGTTGTCACGGCATTTTTTATGCTGTCCTGTTGATCTGTTTGCATGCAGTGCAGAAGTGGCGATGTCTAATCTTGTAGCTACAGGAAACTGTACACATTGCAAAAACATTCTTCCCAGTGTGTCAACAAACATTTGGGCCTGGAACTCAGTAGATTCACAGCATAAAGTATCAATATAATCACCGCAGGGTAGGATCGAAACTTTGAGGCTCTTAGCTTTCCCAACTCCACAGACAGAACATCTAAAACACTCTCCTAAAGCAGGTTCTGGTGGGTAATCCAAGCGGTAATGGGATTTTGTACATAGAATTCTCGTGTTTCTGGTGCGTGTACACTTTTCTGCCTCGTATTCGAACTGCATAGAAAGAAAACAGTTATGTAAACAAATTAATAAATAATTATAATGAAGAACAGCCAGTTCGTTTCGAGAGTATTTCAGACTAATTAAAATGGACACCATATACGCTATGGGTGTACACTCAGAACTCAGGCCCTTGCACAAAGTCAAGGTCTGAATGGACGAACAACCAGGACTTTCATCCCGAGATTACTGACAAATGTTAAATGTTGAATTAGGAATCGACATCGCAGCACTCGGGACACTTCCCATCTTCAGCAGCAAGCGAAGAGGTAAAATGCAGATGGTGCCAGTAACTGTCTGATTGCATATCCGTCTCGCCTTTCCCCTGAATGTCGAGCGTCGGCCAGATGAGAATACAGCCGGTGAACAGAAGAAGAGGAAGAAAATGAAGAAGAACAAGAAAACAAGAAGAAGAACAAGAAGAACAAGAAAAACATGAACAAGAACAAGCTTCTGAATGTTATGGGAATTATCTGGTATCAGATACAAAGAACATACTGTAGTACCAGTACATTCTTGTTAAGTGTCAGAACCACTTCATTTGTTCTTTAATGACCTGTAAGACTGGCTTTATTCCTAGCATTCGTCTGATTTCGTATTCTTTTCTTGAAACTCACGCAGCTCTTCTAAGGCATTTCATCTCTGTTGTCACAATTTTACTTTCATTAGAGGATTTAAGTGTCCACGTTTGGCACTAATAACATAGTGTTGTCCAAAAAGTAGTTCTGACAAGATTCACTTTAGTACTCCAGGGTATCTGCTTGTGTGTCAACAGGGAAGTTAGTTGCCCCATTACTTGATTCGCTTTACGTTCTTTTATAAGAGCTTAAAATCTCGGTTATCGTTCTTCGTGACCTTGCAATCTAAGTCAAAACATATGAGGTGGGGTAGGCAATTCTCTTCCTAGTTTTATTTTCTTCACAGGGGATTTGCGAAATTTATGGAAATAGGTACTGGTTTACAGCCTAAAACGTCTATGGTTAAGCACCAGCAAGGAGATCAAAATTAAAATTTTGAGAGCATGCATCTTCCCTGTGGTTACATGCGGATGTGAGTCGTGGACTAACTCTCAGTCCTTAAGAAAGAGAATAGGGGCTTTTAAACTGAAATGCTATAGAAATATTCTCAGAATATCTTGGACAAAGAAGAGGAGAAATACTGACATCTTGAAAGATCTGAACATCGAGGAAGATTGGCTAATGAACAGCATCCTGTCTCGGAAGCTGAAATATTTTGGTCATATCAAGCGCCACGACGGATTGGAAAAAAAATTATAGCAGAAGGCATAGTACCAGGAAGGAGGGGCAGGGACCGACCGTCACGAAGATGGGCACAGGATATAAGTGACTCCTTGAGTATGAAAGTACATGAGGCGGGAGAGCTGGCGAGAGACCGAGTTTCTTTCAGGCAGACTGTGATGAGAGAGACGTTCTGCAAAGGACCTGCTACATGATGACGTTGAGGTGCTGATTTATTAGTTCTTTTTAGGCAATTCTTGGTCAGTCCAGTGATAATACAGTAAAATGTTTTTTTTTTCATATGCATTCACTGAACTGTGTTATATTTACTCTTTGTATGTGAATTATTAGTTTACCTACTTCTCTTCCAAAGTATCTATGTTAAACACATTGAGGCCTAAGTATTCACTGATTTTAAGCTAAAATAATTGGGATATGTGGAGTTCAAATAATACCTGTTTAGAACTAAAAGAGTTAAACAGGGCCGACCAGACGTAATAGTCGGGGGGGGGGGGGGGAATTCTATCACATCTGACAATAGGACCGGCACCACTGTCCCAGCAGGGAAGTGCGTTAATCTAGTCTTGCGATTGTTTGTTAGGGAGCATATGTTTATATTCTGACTGGAAAGCCAAGAATATGTAACCACAATCAATCAAGTATCGTCTCCACAAAAAAGGTTTAAGCGATGATATTGATTTAACGTTCTCTCTCGAGATTAGTGATCACTTGGATGAGGGGGAGGCGAAGGAGGATGAGGAGAGGAAGAATAAAAGAGGAAAAGAGGAAAGAAGAAGAAAAATAAGAAGAAGAAGGAGAAGTAGAAGAACCAGCAGCAGCAGAAGAAGAAGAATAAGGGAAGAAGAAGAAGAAGAAGAAGAAGAAGAAGAAGAAGAAGAAGAAGAAGAAGAAGAAGAAGAAGAAGAAGAAGAAGAAGAAGAAGAAGATGAAGAAGAAGGAGAGAAGAAGCAGCAGCAGAAGAAGAAGAATAAGGGAAGAAGAAGAAGAAGAAGAAGAAGAAGAAGAAGAAGAAGAAGAAGAAGAAGAAGAAGAAGAAGAAGAGGATGATGAAGAAGAAGAAGAGAAGAAGCAGCAGCAGAAGAGAAGAAGAAGAAGAAGATGATGAAGAAGAAGAAGAAGAAGAGAAGAAGCAGCAGCAGAAGAAAAGAAGAAGAAGAAGAAGATGATGATGATGAAGAAGAAGAAGAGAAGAAGCAGCAGCAGCAGCAGAAGAAAGAAGAAGAAGAAGAAGAAGAAAGTAGGAGGAGGGAAAGAAGAAGGGGGTTGGGGGGGGGGGGGCTAGGAGGATAAGAAGAACGCCTTACATTATATTTGCTAAAAAGAACAATATACAATGCTTACGTTTCCAAGCGGCGCCTTTAAACCAGCGTTTCTCAACCTGTTGACCACATCGCACACATAGTGCAAGCTACTCTATAAAATATAAATGCAGCAACGTATGCCCGCTGCCACCGACGTGAAAAGAATCCTTTAAAAAAAAATCATTACTTTAAAATAAAAATAAAATATGTTACCAGGGTCGGATTTAGACTTAATGAGGCCATATGCTGTATAAAGTCCTGAGGCTCCTACTGTTTTATAATACCCCAGCTAATCATAGACACTTTGAAATATATAGGTTAGTTGCGTATTCTTTACAGGACGTTGCAGAACCAACCTCAGCCACCCCTGGCTGTTGTGTGGTTTCTCTAGGCTAATTTATGTCCAGTAGTTTGCCATTGCTTTTTGGAACACAGAAATAGAAATTTGCATTTAAGACCCCACAGACTGTGAGACTCTAACTGCGTCTTAACTTATACCCTAAATCCAGCACTGCTTTTTACAGTTAAGATAATTTTCTAAAGAAATTTATTTTTAAAAAGTTAAATTGCAAATCATCCATGCGTCAAGTTTAAAACAAATACCGAACATTATGAGACTTACCAGATGCTCTTGTGGAGTTTGACACTCCATGCATTTGGTGAAGTTGTGACTGAACTCATCCATGAAGGTCCCCTCGGAGCAGGAGGCACACACTCTAGCACCCTGTC